TCCTCAAAAAACACTCACCTAAAACCACTCATGTGGAGTATAAAGAGTGGTGACAATAGTGCTTGTGTGGAGGAAATCTGACACTTGCTTCATTGACAAGTTATTGTTATCAATGTTGTATTCTCTGTACGACTGTACTCCTAGTACTCACAGTGGTCTGAGGCTCTTGTGGTTTGGAGGCTACAGGAGTAGTCTGAGCAGTCGGCTGCTGAGCTCGGTGAGTGTGGGACGAAGAGGACTGCTGCTGGGGACTGTGCCTGACTGCTGGGCCTCTGCATCTGAGTGAGACCTGTTGTGTGCGCATGGTACTGAACCACTCCATTCTGGAGCTGCGTCTGCAACTGTACCGCCTGCATAGTATACCCATAGTGTATTACCATCAGGTAAAGAGAGTTATGGAATGTGTACATACATATAATGTGTACAGGTATATACATACACATTAGCCCAGGTGAAGTGATGGGTTCAAAAGAGTAATAGGCTGAGCAAATTACTGAGTCAGAGAAACACAAAGACCATTTTGTGGTAAGAGGGAACGTGGGTGCTGTCTCACCATCTAGTATGTATGAGGTTAAAGCAAAGTAGCAGAGGCCAAAAAATACAACCACATTTGGGGAAAACTTTTATACAGGAAAAAAACTGCTCAAGATTAGAACTGGTGGGATTAGAACCCACGACAGTCTGCACTCTGGGTGAGCACTCTACCAGCTGAGCTACTGCTCCTGTAAAATGTACAAAAAAATAGCCTTCACCAGAACGTGTATTATATAGGGTATGATGGAAGGAGAATGTACATATGTGCACATCAAAACAACAGAGAGAGAGAGAGTTACTGCCAGCCAATAGTAATCAGGAGAGAGAGCGACGCTGCCTCTTTCTTTCTGTTTATATGTTATTGTCTGTGTTTTGTGTGCTTGGGTGGGGGAGGTTTTTCTTTTCCTCTGAGCTAGTATGCTATAAACATGTTTTTTCATGTACAGGAGGCCATGGCAAATTAAACCACCCACTGGTTACATTACGTGTAATGCACACACAGCATCCAACCTGCACTTGCACACACTGCCTGTAACAAACAAAAACTATACACTAACACCCTATTTCAACATGAGTTGCTAATGATCAAAGTCATACCTACACTCTTTTCAAATCTTTCCACAGGGTTTTTATATGGATAGTGTACATACATATTTACATTATGTACACTAGCACACAACCCTCGCAAACACTAGTTAACAAGTGGGAGATATTCTACTCATTCCTTGGTCACTCCTCTGATTATTACTGTCTAGTATTGGTTTACTTGTACACATAACGCATGAATTGGTCAGACTGTTGGTCTTCTCCATGGCAATACTTTTACTTTACTACTACTTTTTTTTTTACTTACTACTTTTTTCTTACTTGTAACTTTTACTTTTTTTTTACTACGTTACTAGCACTTTTTTGGCTGTTCCTACTAACTCCTTACTTCACTTCCTCTTTAGTTGACTTACCTTGTCATCAGTGAGCATCCACCTTCCTTCCTTTTTTCTGTCCTCTTTGGTTTCACCTTTTGGCGTTGGTGAAGGTTCCTTGTACTTTCCCTTTGTCGGGCTGGGGTTATGTCTCGGATTATGGGAGACGACATGTTCTCCTTTCCTTGCCTCACTTGTTTAACCCCTCCCGGGCATGACCATGTTGAATGATTCCTTAGTTTTTAACTCCATAACCATTGGGCCCCACTTTTTTTCCCTTTCCCTTTACTTTAGTTTTGGTGGGCACTCACTGCGTCGGATTAAGCGACATAGATATGCTGCCTCTGTAAAGGGGTAGGTTCCTGTGATTCCCTCGATTAGCTCCTGTGTGTGAGTCAACAGCTTTGTCCGTAATGGGTACCCTAGCCTGGATGCTAGTGGTACGTGGTGGGTTCCCTATTTACGACTCCTCCTTTTTGTAGTGCCGTGATAAAGTAACCACTTTATTTGTTTTCCTTTTTTAGCTAGTGCTACCTTGTCTCGACTTGGTTTCTGCTTGTCAAATCTATACTCCCGTGCAACAAAGATTGTACACGACTAAGATGGTAAATTAATATCACGGAAGCTGGAAAGACAGTGGCGCGAGAGGTCACCCGCTGAGGAGGGGGTGGGATTTTCGAGAGTCAGCTGAGGACATTGCCTGTCGCGATTCGTGGATTTGTCAACGAGGCATTGGTCAGCCACCCACTAGAGGAGGAGATGCTGGAGAGTGCAGTGGAGGACACTCACGGATACTTCAGTGTGGGGACAAGAAGTTTACAAGCATGTGGAGTGGCTGGGGCACAAAGGGGCTAAGCGAACAACCAGGTCTCACCTTACTGTCTACTGTCTACTGTCTACTGTCTATGTACCAAGCCAGCACTTTGCATTATGCCCACAGGGGTGTACACCTGCTGGCCACCTGCTTCAGACAAGTCTAGGTCATACACTGCTGGCCCATCCCAAGTCGAAACACTACCTGGTCGCCATACCCCTCTACTACTGCACCCTCCCTGATGGTGGTAGAGGATATATATGTACATGTAGTGTCATATCCTTGTAGCCTGTTCAAAAACAAGGTTTTTTTCCACACACAATGTTCCGCTATTAATCATGCTTCTCAACTAGCCTTCTGCTGCTGGTTCTGTTTCTGGAACTCTTGCAGCTGCTGTTTGCCCATCACTAGCTGTTGGTGCATCTGCTGCAGTCGCTGCTTATACTGCTGGAGTTGAGTGTGTCCACCAGCTCCGTGGACCGAGGCTCCTCTGCGTGGAGTAGCTGCCAGGGCAGAGTTGAAGAAGGAGAGAGGGAGAGAGGAGGAGAGGAGGAGAGGAGAAGAGGAGAGGATGGAGAGGGAGAGGACGCATGGATAGGGATAGGCTATCGGGTACGCTAGTCTCAATTGTCGCTGGCTAGTCCACGTATGCTCTTCTTCTCTTCTTTCTTTCTCGTCCTCTTCTTTGCTTTTATGCTTTCCTCGTCTCCTATCTCTTTCTTGCTTCCGTCTCCCCCCTCGTTCTTTTCTTCCCTTGTCGGTTTCTCCGCCTTTCCTCTTTTTGTCTGTCTTCCTGCTTCCCCTTCCCCTTTGCCTGGTTTTCCCGCTAGTGCTGCCTGCTCGCGCTCCTTCCTCTGCGCCCGCTATCGCGCGTCCGCTGGAGAGCGATGCAGTGCCACTATTACATGTATCGACACACAATACAAAGTAATGCAAAACAGAAGCTTTGTTGGGGATAATACACTCAAGACCTAGGGAGCCTATACATGTAGTAGATGTATGTATTACTGCACATGGAAATTGAAAAGAGCCCACTTAGTCGTTTTGATGCGGGAATTTCTCTATCTCATCGTACACAAATGGATATGCAAAGTTGTGACACACACAAAAGGTGCTATGTACATTCGATCAGTGTATTGTACCTGTACACACAATCTGTGTATGCATACACCTGTACAGGAGGGGTTAAAAACGTTTCCATTTCAATCTGTTTCGTTGAGCTTCCATTCCCTTCCGAAAAGCTGTTCATTTACCGTTGGAATTGGTTCCGTTCCGTTGCGTTCCGTTTAGAATCGTTGCCGTACATGTGTTGGCATGAGGGCCGTCATTAGCGAGAGGCACTGTGAACATATTTCTTCTATCACCTGTGTGGGTACTGCCTTCCCGTTACTACGTGTTTACGCTAAGAAAAAAACCTTGTTTCATTCCCCTGCTAGAGAGTCTCTACCGCGATTGCGGAGTGCATGTCATGCGGAATTCACAACTGAACGGAAACTGAACGGAAAGGGAACGGCAAACGGAACGAAATTGTGTGTTTGACACCAGAACACCACACACACACTATACATGAAAAACATGTTTATAGCATACTAGCTAAAAGAATAATATGAGAGGAAAAGAAACAACCTTAAACCCCCCACCCAAGCACACAAAACACAGACAATAACATATACCCAAGCATACAAAAACACAGACAATAACATACCCAAGCATACAAAAACACATACAATAACATTTAAACATAACGAAAGAGGCAGGACCTGGGTGCCCAGCCTTGAGGAAATGATGGAAGAGAGAGAAATATAGAGACAGATTCGAGAGAAGGGAAGAGGGAGAGAGATGAAAGTGCAACTGTATGTATGTATATATGTATCGAACACAAAAGACAAAGTAATGCAAAACAGAACTGGGGCGGTAGGTTAAAGAGTCTTTTATGGGCCCAACTCTCCCTACACACACATGCTGCAAGTGGCCCAAATATGTACAATTTACCCACATGGCCACCACACAATTAAGCCCTGGTACTCAGACACACAACTGAACGTGCAACACTACAAGATGAGCCCCCAAGAGTACAGTATCGCCTCAGGAGTGCATTACTACACGCTCCTTTGATTCACATGACATAATTATTACTTGACACTGACAGTGTATATGTACAATGGACACTATCTAGCTCTTTGGTGTTCCACTAACGAGCCTAGTGTACATATATAATCTTGTATGACCTCATATGTACATGTACAAGCGCCACACTGTACTATGTATTCATTTGCGACACACATGCAGAGAAGTGAAGTGGGAGACGCATTTCCCACAGAGTTCACATTGGGTTGAGTTCACACTTGCACATGCACGCCACAAAGGGAAAATTCACGAGCCTAACCTCATCCCAAGCACGCAAGGGTGTGTCAGAGTGAAAAAGAACACTTACTGGAGGGAGGTGGAGGGACCATCGCACCCACGGCCTTCTGCTGCTGGGTGGGAGTGGTGGCAACGGGGGGTGTGACCGCTGGTGGGGTGGAGGACTTGGCCTTTTGCTGTGTGGTTGCTGGACTGGCTCCCTGGTTTATTGTGTGGGCAGGGGGGGAGGGGGAGGGGAGGTAAGGAGAGAGGGGACGGAGAAGGGAGAGTGAGAGAGAGAAAAGAGGAAGGGAGAGAGAGAGTGAGAAAGGAGAAGGAGGGAGGAAGGAAGGAAAAGAATACATATATGTACAGGGCAAAAGGGATTGTAAAGGGGAAAGAGGGAGTAGTGTACACAATGTGTACTTGCAACATTTTCACCATGGGTAATCTACAATTGGACAGTGACACCTTCAGACACACGACCGACTTAAGCTTTAACAGTCTAGCTATAAGACATTGATACTAACTGGACATACACATACAGTACATATAAGAAGGTTGCAGACAAAAGTGCCCTGTTTGAGCCCCGAAACAGGACACTTTGTACCCTCATAAAAGTGCCATACACTCACATATGTAAGCTATACATGCATTGCACCCTGCATACACAGTAACTATGTACATACAGTAGGTGCATGTGTGTAAAGACAATAAAAAGCACACACAACAAGACATGCACTGTGGCAGTAATACAACACCACAAAAGTGCTCAATGACTCCTACACATGCTACACAAAATGTAAACACACCAACCTCAAATGCACCAAAGCTTGCCCAATCATCTCCCTAGAAAGAGAAACACACTTTCAGGACATGGAGCCAGTACGACAAAGTTAAAATTCCCTCTGAAGACAAAGACACACACCGACTACACACTGTATATGGCAGGTATGTGTATACTCATTGCCTCAATAGAGGATGTCCCTTGCTAGTTTATCCCAGCCTGACAGGCTTTGGTCCCAAAAAAAATAAACACGCCAACAGCCATTCCCAAGTCCCCTCCCCTCCTTCCGCACACCGACCTTTCCGGAGGCCAGTTTGTTGTTGTCCGCCGCCCCACCACCGCCAAAGTTGGCCCAGTCAGACATTGCCGTCTTGTTCTCTGAAACTAAGACTGCTGGACCTGTTGGAGCTTCGCTACCGTCGATCCAGCGACGGCTTTGTCCAAGTCGGATGTACAGTACGGTCTCCTGCGGCAAGATGATCCGAGTAAGCCTATGACGTCAGCTCCACTATTCTAAATAATGCTCGCCTACCACATGGACTAGAGCTCTCTCTGTCTCTCCCGCCGCCTACACGGACGCACGGTAGGCGACATGTGTAGTTATCACGTTGTCCGTGTGTTTTAATTGCACTGTCAAGACAAGTCTTGTGACTGGTCGTGAAGCTTGTCCTCTTTGTCACTGTGATGGCATGGTCTATGCTGTAGGTCTGGTTGTCAGAGACGTAGTTGAGAATTCTTCCAGATGACCCTGTGCTAGACTGAACTAAAGGTGCAAAGACACCTTGTGACTTTAGCTGTGCCAGCTTCAATAATCATTGTCTGTAGTAGGAAATAACCTCAAGTGCACACTCATACAACTGTTGTTGCCATTGCTGGAAGCTGGATAAAGAGATGGCCTCCACACTGACCCTAGCTCTGGCAGCTACAGCCGTTCATCTGGTCCTGTTTGTCTCCATATTCGACATCTACTTCACCTCCCCCGTGGACTCTGGCATGGAGCCCCAGCTAACTCCCACCTCACCTCCGGCAAAGAGACTCGTCTTCTTTGTGGCCGACGGTCTCCGAGCTGACACCATATTCTCCCTCGATCCCGACGGTGGCTCCCCAGCTCCGTACCTCCGACGTGAGATAGTCGAGGAGAGGGGCAAGTGGGGTGTCTCACACACTCACGTACCGACAGAGTCACGACCGGGGCACGTGGCATTGATAGCCGGACTCTACGAAGATGTAAGTGCGGTCACTCACGGCTGGCGTGATAACCCCGTCCCGTTTGACTCTGTCTTCAACCGCTCCCACCACACCTGGTCCTGGGGAAGCCCCGACATCCTCCCCATGTTTGCCAAGGGAGCCACCGCGGGTAAGGTGGATGCTTTCGTGTACGACGCAGAGTGGGAGGACTTTGCCGACTCGGACGCTTCGAAACTCGACACGTGGGTGTTTGAGAGGGTGCGGGAGTTTTTCAAGAGGGCTTCGAGCGACTCTGAACTTCACAATCAGGTCTCCCACGACAAGGTCGTGTTTTTCCTTCATCTTCTCGGTATTGACACAAACGGCCACTCGCACAGACCCACTTCGCAAGAAGTCATTGAAAATCTCCGTCTCGTTGATAGAGAGATCGAAAGCGTGGTTGAAATGATTGAATCTTACTTTGGCGATGAGAAAACTGCGTATGTCTTTACGTCTGACCACGGAATGACTAACTGGGGTTCGCATGGAGCAGGGCTGCCTGACGAGACTATGACGCCGCTTATCTGCTGGGGCAGGGGTTAAAGTGGCCACCTCGTCAAGAAATTCCAAGGTTAACTTCCACGACAGTTACTCAGAGAAATGGGGCCTCGGTCGCTATGAGAGGGTGGACGTTGAGCAAGCCGACATTGCCCCTCTAATGTCTACCCTAATTGGAGTCCCCACCCCTGTAAACTCAGAGGGAGTTCTTCCACTGGGCTATATCCACTACAATCAAGGATTCTTGGCTAATTCCATTTATGGTAATGCCAGACAACTCTTAGAGCAGTTTCGTGTCAAAGCAGAGCGGACACGCTCTCACTCACTCCCATACGCTTTCAAGCCCTATCCCAGGCTCTCTCTCGGGGAGATGGGCGACTACAAGCTAAAGATACGTAACCACATAAGGGAGCAGAAGTACCAGGAGGCCATTGATTTATCCCAGCATTTGATAGCCATTGTCAAAGAGGGAGTGAGGTACTACCACACTTACCACAGACCGGCACTCATGTCTGCCACCACCTTGGGGTTCCTGGGCTGGATCTCCTACACTGTTCTCACTATACTAGAACAGAGTGTGGCGATGACAACAGCAGGAACGAAGACCTGCAGGTATCCCCTCAAGACCTCTGTGGTTCTAGCCACTGTGTTCCTACTCCTGTTCATACAGAGCTCCCCACTACTCTACTACTCTTACTACAGCATACCTGTCTTAACTTGGAGCTGTGTCTGGAGAAACAAGACCACATTGGGTGCGGGCATTACTCACAGCCAAAACTAATTTGGCCGGGACTTTCAAGATTGTGGTGGCTGTGGTGCTTGCCCTGTGTGGTCTGGAACTGCTTGTTTTGAGTTTTTTCTTGAGGGAAGGTCTGAGCATTGGTCTCTTGCTGCTCTCTCTGTGGCCATATAGCACTGCATTGCCTGCTACTAACCTTAAACTTTGTCTCTCTTGGAGTTTTGCTTGCTTTGCTCTGTCAGTGTTTCCACTGCTCCCGGTTGTAGGTCGCAGTGCACACTATCTCTATGTCACACTGTCTGGCCTGGCGGCAGTTCTGTGTTTGGTCTACTCACTGAGAAACTACCAACAGTACATGTTCACTCCTACGTCGCGCAGGTTTCATTCGAATCTGCTCACTTTTCAAACTGTTCTATTAGGGCTTGCATCTTTTGTACCACTGCTAACTAACTCCTTTTTCTCCCAGAAAGAAGCCATTCCGTATGCAATAAACATATTTTCCTGGTGCACACTTATCTTTTCACTGACTGCACCTTTTATCGGTCCAAGGAATCTCCCTGGGCGTCTTCTACATATCTCTCTCTCCTTATACACAGTCTTTATTTTGCTGAGTATGAGTTTCGAAGCCATTTTCGTTCTCTTGCTCTGCACTGTTCTATACATCTGGCTAGCCATAGAAGAGAAACTAGCAGCGACTCATTTGAAAGCTTCTACCAGCCTGTGGGAGAGCTCCATTTCTTTTAGAAAGCCATTTGAAACTACACTTCTTCCGAGTGAAAACTCTGCACCTGTTACTGCTGATTGTATCCGGCAGGTGGCCATGTGTCTGTTTTTCGGGATTCTCTCCTTCTTTGGGATTGGGAACATTGCCAGCATCAACACGTTTGACCCGGCCACAGTCTACTGTTTCCTGACCGTTTTCTCTCCGTTTATCATGGGATCACTCATCTTACTCAAGATGGTTATACCGTTCGTGTACGTGAGCTGTGCCTACAACTGCATCGTTAGTCTCCTGGAACAATCTTTGAAAAACGGGCTACTCCTAGTCCTGATCATGACCGACGTAATGGCACTCAACTTTTTCTTCCTGGTGCGAGATTCGGGGAGCTGGCTGGAGATTGGAGTCAGCATCAGCCACTATGTCATTGCCATGGTCGTGTGTGTCGGTGCTGTTGTGCTCATGGGGCTTGCCAGACTCCTCACTGGGGTCAGCATTGTGCCACGGAAAGGTGGGGACCACCTGTTCTGACATTATGGAGTTATCAACCAGTCATGATACTCATTAAAATTCTCTTATAAGCACCCTGGGTGTTACAGTGAAGAGTTATTACAGTATTCTTGGCTGATGGATCAGCAGTCACACAAATATCACAGCAACACAAAAATAATGTTTACCTTGCACAAGTAGTTAGAATATGAAGCGTGTTTAAGACGCGTTGTGCTTCAGAACCTGCACGTTAAATGACAAAGCATTGCAGCCATTACAAACAGACCTTGTGGAGACGGTTGTCCTATGTACGCACTCAGACTTTTAGCTCTCAACACAGTTCGCCTTGAGCGACTAGTGCAACACCAGCTGCGTATGGAATTGAACAGAGCCGAGATGGAGATCCACATTAATACCTTAGGCCTAACTGCTGCAAAGCCGGTCCAAACAGAAGTGTTGGCAGGAGGCTAGGCTGGAGGCACCAGTCAATTATTTTTCTAATAAGCATAGTTACCGGTGTGGAAAAGTAACCAACAGGGAAACGTTATCATACCAGGCTATCACGGCCCCTTTGTTGATATTAGCCGGCAGTGGGGGGTGGGTGTATGTGGATTCAACATTCAACATCCAAGAGAGACAGAGTTTAAGGTTAGTAGCAGGCAATGCAGTGGTATATGGCCACAGAGAGAGCAGCAAGAGACCAATGCTCAGACCTTCCCTCAAGAAAAAACTCAAAACAAGCAGTTCCAGCCCACATGATAGCAAACTCATAGCAAACCTATAGTATCTTTTATCATCCTTGAGTTGGCGATGCATAATTTCGTCTTGTCAAGTGTATTATAATTATAGAACCTCTGATTTGAAAAGGGACAACTCTCCATTAAAGACACACTTTGAGATCCTACCGTTCACTTTGTAGTACATTTTCAACCAGCGAAGAAAGGAAAACATCCCTATAAACGACAATTATAAAAATGTCTGGTCCCAAGTCTCCACTGTCTTACGTCTCGACTAAGTACACATTCATTGAAACCGCTGCCAATGCTCTGTCGGTTTCATGAGAAATCCTGACTTCTGGAGTTATTCTTCTGTAACCTCCATAGCCAGGATAAACATTACCTAGTATAGTCAGCACAATTATGAAGTCTTTGCCAGAGCTAAATGGTTCCGTACAAAGTTTAAAGTTCATATTGAATTGGGCCGCCCGGGTATGACATGTATACAGACAAAGTGAGGGATGAATACAATATTTTTTTTAAAAAACATGTAAGAAGCATAACACTTGACTGGGGTCCATGGTAGAGTGCACCAGCAGCTGTCACTTTTTGTGTGGTTGGTGATGACATGTTCAGCCAGGGTTGGTTTGCTGTATTGCACAGAGGACATTTGCTGGGTGAATCATCAGGGCAGATAATCACCCTCACAAGATTCTTCATTCCCTTGATAACTGAGGGGCCGTGGTCCAGTGCATGATCCCACAACTTCTTCCACCCAACACACTCGGCGATCTTGTGCACAAACTGATGTTTGGAGACCTTTTGTAGCAGCAGCAATTGGCCTTTCTTGCTGATGATATTTTGTGCATTTCTGATGATGTCGAGCCCATCTGCAGGCTCATTGGCACTCATTATCTCTGATTTAAAATTCGACTTGTACCTCTCCTCCAGTTCCCTGCATTCCCTCACTAGACTGAGTGTCTCCACGTCGTCCACCATGGCTGAGAAAGCTCGATGAGTGACAGATGCTTTGTCATGGCTGCATGGTAGATACATAATTATGCGCATGCGCAAAATTCATTTTTTGCGCCGCATTCCGCCGCGGAGCCGCTGCATGCAGCAGGTAGGTAGGTGTGTGTGCAGCAGAAAATAAAAGTCGGCGTCGCAAGGGGAGGTAAACATTGTCGGACAAGTTGTCGGACACGTGTACGGCAAGCCGGGGACAAAGAAACATGACCGGGAGTGCTCGGCTCACATCACTAGATGCAGGAGGACGCAGCCGGCGACGTGTGGGAACACCAACAGCCGATGCGGCGCCGAGACTCTCGCTTGTCGCCTTTCTGGCCACGCTCTGCTGTTTCCCAATCTTCCTGACTCCTTCGCATGGTGAGACTTTTCGTGTGCAGTACGTCAATATTATTTATGCCGTTTGCCGTGCTAAACCCATTGAGTCGGTCACGCTGGATAATGTCTTCTCTCACCGTCCTTCGCTATGACCCCCCGCCCCGCGCTAGTGGTAGTGGTACATACCGTGTGTTATCCCCGAGACAGCTAGTAGCTAGCCGGAACAACTGCGTGGACTGCCGCAGAATCACAACTTTATCAGGTCTGTGGTGCAGTGGGTCGATCTGGCAGTGTTTAGCATTCATACCCAGCTCCTGCAGTTGTCTCCTGATGTGGTTCAGGGCCGACCATAAGTCAGAAAGTAGCGTAAGTGGTCTTGTTCTAGCTTTTCTTTTGCAAGGTTACGGCCATTATTACCTACAATAAAATTCAAAACCTTTTTCTTTTCACTGTGACTGACGTTAAACGTTTAGGTTTTTCTTTTCAGTTGGCTTGCTGGGCTTTTTCCTCCCGTGGAGGTCGCCTTGGCTTGTTCGCCAATGTAGATGTCTTGTCTCAGCTTCCATGGGTCATTAAGCTTAGCTTCAAGTGTGGACACTGGTAGTGCTCTTAAACCTTTGCTGGGAAACCGTCAGTTGTGGATCTAGGATTTTGATGGGGGGGTTCCACTGTCAAAGAACGTTTTGACTGTGCTTGTGTGCGCGCACGAGGCCTGCGATGCATGCACACAAAACGATAAAAGAGGGGGGGGGTTCCGCGGAACCCAAGGAACCCCCCTGGAACCACCACTGACTGTATTGCTGTCCAATTGTATGCTACAATGTACATAGTTAGGAGTTTAGGTGTTGTTGATTGGGAGCACTGTTGTCATTGGGAAAGCCTGGGAGAGAAGACCACCTTGGATTCCTCCTTTCCCCCTACAGAAGTCAACCACAGGCTCTGACACAATTTCCTCCTCTGGTTTCCTCTATTAGTGCCAACTATGTACAGTAGGACACCTGTATAGAGCGGACCCAACCCACTAATGCCTGTTGGTGCCTCCAGATCAGCTACCTGCCAACACTTCTGTTTGGACCGTCTTTGCAGCAGTTAGGCCTAATTGTGCAAAGCCAAGAGCTTTGCATGCCTGCCCCACAACACAGTCTCAAAACAACAGGTGCTTTTGCCTTTTGTGTGCTAAGTCGGTGTCCTGTACACTGATGACAGCATGATCACAGTTTCCACAACCTTTACAAGGGCCGTTGTACAGCTGGCCGTAGTGATCGCTTGTTTTGCTGAGTGACTGCTTTTCCCAGCTTGCAGGTGCAATAATAATTATACATACCGACAGTGGCATTCTTTGTAGTGTATTAAATGACGTCATATGCCATGACAGCACAGCATGTTACTAGTACAGTATACAGGCTAACACTGTCAGTTGAGTGTCACATGACTATTGGGTCTCTGGTCTGCTAACCCTGATCTAAGAAAAGAGGGGAGTTACATGAAATTATAGTTCATAGCATACCAGCCATAGGTATGTATATATAGATAGTCCCAAAATATCCATACAAAACACATACACAAATACACATCACATGAGAGCAGGACACTGGTTGCCCAGCGGGTTAAAGAGTCTTTTATGGAGTCATGTTGTGTACAAAAAAAACATTTCATATTAAAAGCTGAGATAGCTCTGCAAACCTGTGTTTTGCAGAGTTTCCATGTTCTATGAATGCAGCTGTGAGTGTGTGAGTTTTAGTAGTTTTCAAGTTGTTCAAAATGTGCTTTTTTGGGTGAAATTCTATCACTTTGGTCCCCTGTTTGTTTTAGATGTGGCCAGATAAGGGTCTTGCTACATAAATCCACCTGCATCCTGTTTGAAACCACTGTAGTAACAGAGAATGTGTGCATAACCTCTTGGACACATTTCACTGCTCACATCCTTTTAAACAACCAACAATGAAGTGTATACATACTTTGCATTGTGTTTTGAAGGGATCCTCCCTCTGTGTACGTGTTTAACGCTTCCATGGAATATTTCTGTTTTCCGCATGTTTTCCGCTGTTTTGCATGCAGTGCCATCAACATGCATGCATAGTACACATTGTCAGCAGCTAGGTCACGCAAAAGAGATTGTGACACTTGTCATTGGAAGGTTGACTAGTCACGCAGTCAAGTGAAAGATAACAACTCTGCGGCGCTCTCTGCTATGAATTTCTCCGCAGGTGTACACCGCCTGCATACAAGTGCAGTACAGTGGTCGAATAATTGTGTGTATTCAAAGGCATGCTAGTGTGTGCCAATGTGAATATTGCGTCTACTAGACATAGCGCCGTGCTCTCCTGCATAGCGCAGTTGATAAATTCACTGAAAGGAGGCTCCAGTGTTCTTTCACGAGGGGTTGGTGGTTGAGCAGTCAGTCTCTTTGAGCATTCAAAACAAACACGTATAATCCTATTGCTTAGTGCTAACTAAACCTAAATTTGATTTTTTAACAATTTATTCTTGCATTTGTGAATAATTACCACGTTTAATGTGCACTGAATGTACATCCTCCGCACACACACCTACTACAGCACTGAAATGCAGTTGCAATGATAAAACACCACTAAGTGATTGTCGGTGGGAAGAATGGACCTGCACAATCGACACATCCCTCAGTGCATGCTATGCCAGAAGATCACGGCGTGCTGACGGTTCCAACAGGACAGATTTAGGCTGTGTGTATACAATCTGGAATCCAACCTTCTGCAATAAGACTACAGAGACTGTAGCTATTGAATGCTGTATCGACAGCGACATGTGCAATGTGGAACTAAGCCCGCCATTGCCTCCACCAGTAGACACCCCTCCTCCCTCCGGCAGTACGACAGATGGTAGTGGAGCTCCCACAATGATCCCAACTCCAACCGCCACGACACATACACCACCACAAGGTGGGCTACAACTGGAGTAATGCAACACATTTTTGGGCAAATGAAACGAGCATTTCATTGTTTCGCGCGTTGTAGCGTTGTAGCGTTGTAGCGTATATTTGGAATGACGTAAACATTACAGTACATGTTGATCCGTCGGTCCGTTCCCTGTTACAGATATATTGTATATATATATATATATGCAATGGGAAAATTCTGCATTCAGACGCCTATGTAGGTGGGCGGGCCTGCTTCACTCGGTAATAATAGACAAGATTGAGGTGTGCCATTGCTTGTGTTGTATTGTGTCGTAGTTACAAGCTTTGTTGCTCAATTTAGACTGCAGTGTGTCGTGGGTTCGAATCCATCTAGGAGAGCTCTTCTAAAAAGAGTCGTCCTGTGTGTAGTTGATTTGTTTGCCTTTGGTTTGCTTGTCTATCCTAACCCCCCTTTGCACGTGTGAACCTTTTGGGACAGGTCAAAAACACTGCTGTAGTATTTCACTGAGTATATGTGTATACTTCCACATAATACGAAGTTCATGTCTTATCAGACTAGGAGCAAACATTCTTCCACCTGTGCACTAGCATAGGCATTGTCCATCACATAAACCCGTATTGTGCACACGCACGTGACAATGTGTGTGTGTAATGTTATGAAAATCGGTCAAGATAGAAGTCAAAGTTTTGGCAGTGTTGTTAGGGAGTGTCACCATATGGTATGAAGGCAATTATCTGTTGCCCTAGTGCTGGCCCAGCAACCATGTGCACTGCCTGAAATAGAATGTCATTGCCAAACAGTGATACATCATTTTGGCCTTGTTTTGATATGTTGTAGGCACCACTTTCAATAACACTTTCATGTTATGAACCAACATTCCGATGCCAGTGGTTTATGCAATAGAGTGGCCCTTTAGTGTGCCTAATACCAAAGAGAGTGTGTGGTTTTCCTGCAGCCTAAGGGTTCCATCTTGCTGGCATGGGACTGTGGCTTGTGGCTTTCTTCCTCTAATTGTGTCATGGTCTGAGTTTCTTTATGCAGAGCTGTCCTTAGCTTACCCTACTGCTTAATTAAGCTGCCTCTGACAAGGGCTTGTTTGTATGCAGGAATGCCTATAGATAGCCCCCTTGCATTGTAGTCTGTGATCCTGTAGTGCAAAGTATGTACAGGTGTGCAATGTAGATGTACAATGTGAGGTCACTATTACATCACCATTGGTTGCCTTTTGTGTGTGGCTGACATGTACGTATTGGGTGCTTCAAGGAAGAGCTACTATTAGCATGCCACTGACAGGTATATACAGGAAGGTAAAGTAGTGAGAGAAACACTAGTGAGCCACTAGCTAGTGACGTGTCTTAGTTATTGTCTGTGTTCTGTGTACACAAGACAAGCCATCTACTGTGGAATGGGTCTAGTGAATTATGGCCTCCTGCTGCTCAGTGTTTCCTGCATCCTGCCTTGTTTGCTGCCTTCAATATCTACTAGGGGAATGCAACTGCATTTTTGGCGAGGGAAGCCAGTATTTCAATATTTCTCGTGTTTTAGTGCGTATTTAGAATCGTGTAAAGATTACAGTGTGTTGGTCCGTTGACCGTTACAGACATAATGTATGGAAATATTCTGCATTCAGATGCCTGCAGTGGGCTCACTTCTCTCGCCAATAATTTGCCCTTGGGTGCTCATGTATAATACCACTTTAAGTTAAGACTTTTGTTAACAGGTGTCCCTCTGTACTCTAAGGTGACTATACTCCAAAGTGACCGTCAACAGACACTTTTATCCCCTAAAAATTTTATATCCCTGCCTTGAAGACCTTTTTGACCGGACCTGTACTATTCCTTGTGTGTGTGTGTGTCCATTGCAGAACAGCTGAAGTGCAAGTGCAGCCCACCGCTGTGTGGCCAGTCTTACTGCCACACCGACTACAAGTGCTACAAAAGTGCCAGTTTCAACAGTAACAATCAGGAAGAGATCTTGTTTGGTTGCTACCACGCCTCTGTGGACGTGTTCGGTACGTGCAACGGAACCCTAGACACTCCAACCCACAAAATCCGATGCTGCAAAGACAATGATATGTGTAACGAGGACCTCGATGTGTCACTAGTCCCAGAGTCCGATCCTCCTACACCGCCCGTGACTACTCAGCTACCATCCCCACCACCAGGTACTTGTACGGCTACATTTTCTAATAATATGGGTACAGTACACTATTATGTAGCGTGTTGTGCCGTTCGTGTTTCATGTACGAGTTTACCGGCAAATCTGGTTCCGCTAACAGCTGCTACGTGTTAAAATTGTACCTCGGTGTAATGAACGATAACTAACCACCTCTGTACTCCCTCGTCTCTCTCTCTCCCCCCTCCCTGCCTCCTATGTGTGTCTGTGTCTGTGTGTATAATGCAGGGCTGATATGTGAGTGCAGCCCATCTCACTGTCCCAATGATCAGACATGGTGCCACAGCAACTACTCCTGTTTCCGAGAAATCGAGTTCTCCGACACCACAAACACCTTCGAGCACACTCTCGGCTGCATAGACACAATTGAGCAGGCAAAACTGGACAAAATTGGTGTCTGCGACGGGCGATTCGATACACAGACTTCAGCCTTAAAGTGCTGCAGTGACAGAGACATGTGCAATAGAGACCTACCGATTGAAACACCTTCCACAGACCAAGGGACAACCAGGCCTCCATCTCCAGCAGGTGAGAGAAAGAACTCGCAAATTAGATGCCAGGGCATTGTAGTGTTGTTAGGGGTGTTGGCTGCATGGCACTTGTTAGCACTTGTGCTGTGGATGATGTTGATAATTCCCACCCACTTTCCTTTTACTAATTGCTGATAACTACCTTTTGTAGTAACCTCTGGCATTTTGATGACTGGAAAACACATTCAGGGCCATGTACAAAGTTTACAGTCTGACAATAAACACTCTCTAGTCTTAGCTTTTGTAGTTGTGTGAGTGCTTGGAATGTATAGTTGTTAGGCGGAAAACACCTTTACAAGACCCATTGTGACTGGAAGAGGAATGTGTTAGCATTAGCTCCAGTACAAACTTAGGGTTATCAGTGTGTTCCACCATCTGCCCTGTTTACTTAAGCCCTCTCTCTCTGTCCCTCTTTCTCTGCAATGTCCACTGAGCTATAGTGTAAATTAGATCTTTTTGTTAGGGTCTACCAAAACAAAGGCAATTCACTTCTTTACATAATACCTATGTAGCCTGCTGCACCTGGAAGGCCATCTGTGTTTTTGACATAATAAGCATTCCTTAGATCTCTAGTACCTTTGTTGGTGGTTGCTACTGCTACTATTGTACCCAGTACTCTAGTAGTGTCATCACCTTTGTTAGGTGGGTTGGTTACTGCATAGTGGAAGCTTTAGGGTGCTGTAGCCTTGAGGTGTGGTGGGGAGAGGAGGGAGGTGTAACTGACAGGCTTCACAGGGTTGAGGTCCTTTCTAGTGCTCTTTGTCTCCATTACCACTGGCCTTTTTTCTGGGCTGCTCAAAGACTGTTGTAGTTGGATTGGGGGCATGACCACTGCCAGTGTACAGCTGTATAGCTGTAATGCTTCAGAGTGGACAGGGAGCTACAAGGCAAATGAGTACCAATTGGGAGTTATTTGTACTGTAGACTTTCCCCTATGTACTATGTACATGACAACTTTCCTACAGTCTTGCTTGTATAGCAGGGGGATGTTGAAGGGTGCATTATCTTATTTCCCAACAGGGGCAAACTGACAGGTGTGCACTAGCATTCCTTCCTCTAGTGTTTGTCCTGTGGTGTATATACATACATGATTGTGTAATGAAGACTTTGGGAACAAGCTTTGCGTGCAAAACCACAACACAGGCCAGCACAAGATGGTCTTTTCTGTAGTGTTTTAGTTCAGTGGAAGCTTGTCTCAGCTTGTCTCAGCAGACCACATCACAGGGAAAACTTGCAAGTTGGCCTGAAAACCCTACTCTAGTTGCATTTTTGTCCTCCTTTGTAGTAACTTCCTCCCTTTATGGAGTGGAGTGTCCACACTTCCTGATTACACCACTCCAATAGCATGATGTTTGTTCTGTGTGTGCATCATCATAACAACCTTATTTGGGTGGCCTAGCAACCTTGGGCTTTGTCAAGAGGAAAGTGCTTTTTGATATGAATTTTTGAAATATTTGCGAAGAGAGCCTACCTAGTCATTTCAATGCGGGGAATTTTGTATGTGATGGCTCTGTCGGGCACTGCGCATACCGTGATATTCTTCGGATTCTAAATATGCGGGACTACTCGCGCTTGCCTGCCAACAATATTTTGCATTACTTTAGTAATAGAACTCCTACTGTACACAGTTTTTAATTGGTCCCTAGTCATCTTTCCACTCTACCCTCTTTTTGCATTGTAGGTGATGATGGCTCCCTGACCAAAGACAACGACCTATTCATCATCATGTCCGTGGTTGTTGTCTTGGTGATGGTGGTGGTCACCGTCCTAGTGGTGGCAACGGTGGGCATGTTTTGCCTGCACTACCAGAAGGAAAAGACAAAGGTCATGTCTGTGGACCAGTTTTCACCGCCCACCCTGAAGCAACTGTCAAACTCTAGCATCACGTGCTCCATAACCTCGTCACAACACCCACTGAAGGACCATACAGAGATTAATAACTATGTGTAGCATATGTTAATTCCTTGTGTATGTTATATGTGTGTACTTTGTGCTTGTGCTTTGGTGTTTTGTATATTATACATCGCATTCTTTTTACTTTATTTTCCCCCTTTTTCTCACTGATTTCTGCCTGTGCCTTCATCCAAGCTCTGAATTCATTTCACTTTCACTTCGCTCCACTGTTTCGAAATGCAACCTTTTGTACACCTCTAAACTATGTACAAAATACTCTCACCCCACTGTATCGCACACACTGCTATGAAAATCGTTCTAAAGTCTAGATTTTTGTGTGTGAATTGGTAACTCTCCCAACAATACTCTGCTTCTCACTGTATCTTCTCGTCACCCACATAATATCGTGATTTTCACATGCTATCTATACGCATATAGACATCATGATTGATTTTTAAATATGTAGTTCATTGCTGCCAGCGGTAACAACGTGACGTGTGTTTTGAAGGCCAAAGCAAAGGCTAAACCCATTTGAATGAGCTGAACTTTGCTCATGGTTTGTCATTTCACACAAGGATCACTGTGTATGGTGAGGCTGTTGTTGGAATGGTCTTCTGTTACAGGTGTGGGATACAGAGCTCTACTGCAACATGCAGGACATCCCACCACTACTTGGAAAATGCCTGCCTCAGAAAAATATTGTATATATTATTTCAACTGAGGCCTGCTCTCAGTACAGAAACCCACACACTCTTTGGATATGGTGTTGTTGTTTATAAGGTCAGTTATCATTTAACTGGAGATATTAGTGAGTTACACACTGTAGAGGGAAGATAGCTACTTCTCTGTGTTGTGTCAATTTTTCCAATCATGCTGAAGGAGCTCAGGATCAGAAGTAGAATGTGGCAAAACGAGCAATGTCTTACAAAATGCAGCCAAATTACCAAAGCAAGCTGGAGACCCTGAGTCTCGCTGCGAGTAGCAAAAATAGCCCAGCATCAATTAGCAGTACCCTGCATGCGTATACTTACACCGAGGGTTTGCACTTTAGTGCTTTCATTTTTACCCATATAGCGTCCTATGCTCAGATTGAGAAGGAGCTACCTGCCACTGTTGTCGAACATCTAAGGGCCGACTAGTACTGTCAGTCACTAATGGCTCTAATAATGAAGACACTGTCAAGTTACTTCTTGTTTCAAGGTGGGTTCTGTCTGTGTGTTGAGTCTCGGCAGTACTACCACGTGAAAGGCTTGGGTGAGGGGGTAGAGTTCACTGGTTATCAAAGATATGTTTAACCCACCAAGCCTAATTAGGCCAAGGCACCCATAATACAATGCTGGTTGGCTCTCCAATGGTACTGCCCTACATTTTCTGCATATTTTTGCAGGTACTGCCTCATACCTTTTATACCATTTTATCTAAATACCGCTTTATGCAAGCCCGGGCGCATAACTTGCTTTGCTGGCCCCTCTGACAAGTGAAGCCTCAGAAGCCCTTTTTACTCTTATTTCTCCTCTTTCTTTTAAAAGCAAATGTGACCATTTCGAGCCATAGCAGAGAGGTGCATAAATAATGTAAACTGACCACCAATCATTGGAGACAGTTATTGAAAGGCCCTTCAAAACTTTCCAAAAAGAGTTTACATCTAGAAGTAAAATTATGGGTCAAAAACAAAGTATGTGACGTTTAATCAACACGAGTACAGTTTGTTACATACCTCCAGTTCCCGAACCACCTGGTACAGGGTCAATCCACGTTTTGCCTATGTCACGTGGAACATTGTCCATGTCAGCCTCTCTCTGAGCAGCTCTCAGTTCTCTACGTTCCTTCGCCAATGCACTTTGCGTAATAGCTGCCCTCTGCATTGACCCATCAGGATTCTATACAGGGATGAATTTTGTTCAATACAAAACCCGTATTGCATGCATTGCCAATTGGTTGAAATTGACTGCATAATGACAACACTAGAGTGCAGACACAATGCATAAAATTACAACTACAGATAACAATCAAGAGCCAATCACAGTTTAGAGGCTCTAAGTAAAGGACACACACTAAAGTGCACGTGATTGCATGCAAAGAAAATGATAGATTATAATTTCTGGCACAATAAATTAACCCTCAGCGCACATGCACAGCAAGGATTACAGTACTTGATTTGTGTTGTCTGTCTGTCAATGCCTATTTCGGCACTGACCAACCTGCTCTGTGTAAGAAGTAAAAACATGGGCTATGCATCGAATCACGCATGCAATCTAAGAGTGTAGCTAGCCAGTGTCAGACTCTCATCGAGCTGTGCGAGCAAAAGACAACAGCATGAGGAAATGCATAGCCCAGCCCATCAATTGGTGGTACAATGGATGCATATGGGTGTGATGTTTGTTTTAGTGCGCCGAGCGTTTGCTCTTTGGTGGTTGTCGTTCTTATGGTAGGTGCCCTATATCTGAACAACACAGCCTATGCACCCTTTACATACAAGGAAAGAACTGTGTCAATTTGCAATTTATATTCCAGACCATGCGAGAAAACTCTGGGGCCAAGTTTTTGCTCTAGTGTTCATTTTCATCGTTCCTCCGTTATATCCCCACCTCATTGTAAACGTTTTTGATGCTTTGTTGAGGCTTTAGTGTAGAACAGAGTGGAGCTGAAGGAAGTTGTTTAAAATTGTTTTTAAGTGACAAATGGTTTACGCATACAGAGTGTTTTATCTGTATACTTGTGTTCGCTCCTCCCTACACTATGAATTAGAATGTGACCCACCTAAACATATGTTTTGCGTTCTACGCAGCGCTTGATGGTTGCCCCTGCACAAGGAGGTAAGCTCTCTTACAGGCTATATATATATGCCTACATATGGTGAAATGGACAACGCTAATCAGCTAACTAGGCAGATCTGCTTTTGAGCTTCAAACATAGTATGCTACATTCTGTTAAAGGGAATGTGCCAGCACATAAGGGCTAAATTTAGAAATGTTACTAAAGATAGAACGAAACAATAGGGCCCAGTGCAAGAATGCAATTAAATTTCTGTTTCTAAAATTTACCCCTTATATAATGCCACACTACCTTTAATAAAAAAAAGCGATATTTCTACTGATATTTCAGTTAGGAGTTAGAGAGGGCAGAGCCACTAACACCCCCTAAAGGGGAGTGTGGTGACGCTCCCAACATCTCCTGCATGGTTGGACTTTGGTGACAGGCGTTCCTCACAATAACAAAAAGATCATTCAGGGAGAGGATCATGAACAGTAGAGTATATACGTAGCTTACCAGTGAAAAATGTTACTTTCAGTAACGGCTCCAGGGGATCAGTGCATGAAAATAAAGTGTATTCCTTGGCACGCATGTGCAGCAAGGGTTACAGCACTTAGTCTATGGGTCTGTCATGTTTTTAGGCACTACAGGAAACAAAGGTTGTTTATAAGCATTGTACCCTAGTTTAGAGTTACAACGGCATAAAATACATTCCAGAAACGACTAAGTTTAAGAGATATGGCACGAAAACAAGTGAGAAGCACAGTATGCATAATCAGCACCAGCTTACCTTAGCTATTTTAGTGGGATGTAGTGTGTGTGGGTTGTCTATCCAGTCTACAGTTGCCCTAAACACTACCTACTGATGCAGCTAGACCGCTAGATCGAGAAACTGACTCCATTGGTGTGGCTCAGCCTATCAATTAGTTGAGCACATAAACGCTAACAATTCTCAGTTGCCAGGCTGTGCCACACATAGGTTTACAGACATTTTGCCAGCCTTACCCGACAAAATGGAATTTACAAAACCTTTATACTCTTAAAAAAGCACACAAGTTGCAACACCTGTAGGTTAATAGTGTCACCTTAATAATCTTGATGGGTGAAAGATGTAGTGAAAGTTTTGTTTGGCCACGTAGAAATGGTGGTTCATCTTCTACTATCTCTATTTCAACATCTTCATCAGAGCCAGGATCTTCTTCTCCAGCTAATATACCACTTTCTTCTGTGTATCCTGAAAAAAAACACCAAAATTCATATATAGTGAATATCTTGTTGATAATTATCTCTTTGGGGCCCAAAGCCACTGGAGTGGCTTTTTACGTCGATAACGCGGAATACAAGTGTAACGCGTTGCGTGAGTAGCATGTGCACCCGCTTGCCTTCTATTTCTCTGGGATAAAGCTCTCCTTTGCAACTGACCGCCTTCCTGCGACATTCTTTTTCAATATTACCAACGCTAATGCACAAATAGAGCATGCCACACCTTCTGGTACTCGAGGGCGCGACGTGCGTGCGGTGCGCGCAGTCCGTACGCGTGAACCGCGCAGACTCACAGGATGTGACATACTCCCCCTTTCTAGCCCACGCAACTGAGCTAACGCCTCCACAATGGCCAGGAAGTTCAGTACTAACACGGAAGTAAGTTTTTCAGTGGTGAAAATGAGCATTCCAGCTTTTTGCATTGCGCGTAATGATAACGTAACATAATAAATTGGGCCCCAAAGAGTTTTAAACTATATAATTTCACGCAGCAAATATCAACCAATCTTGAGGTATCAAACTATACGGTATACAAAGACTCCACGGTATGTCTAGGTGAAGACGATGAGCTGGCATATGTAAGATTACCTGGCTCACCACTGATACAATCAGCGAACACGAAAAATACTTGGCTTACAAGACTCAACACAAGAATGTTTCGAGTAGTAAGGTAGCAATAAATTCATTTGGTTTTTTGCATGTCACCAAATTTATACTGGGGTACGATGAATGACAAAAATGAACACTTGATGTACACAGAACATTATCGGATACTACTGAAGTTTCTGTTATACACAGAGCAGTTTTAGTATGCACCCACGACTGAGCATATTGTGTCCGTTATTATCAACTCGTGCAGTGGGTGGGTTCTTGCGCCATTAGCACGCATAGTAAAAGACACTGCCCAAAAACTGCGGTTAGAATAGGGGGTTTCCCAGACACTATCTTAGGGGAAATTGGAAGCTGTTATTGATGCCAACCCTTCTTATGCATGTGACCCTAGCCGAAACCTGGTCACTTGAGCTACACAGTCACCTACATAATTAATACGGGGCAGTTGGTCACGTGATCTGCAGACATCAAAACATCCTGGGACATGTCTACTCAAAAGGGTGCACGGGGAAGTGCTCGAGAATCACTAAACACAGTAAGTCCTGTCTAAGTGTATTATGCTACGTACTGGACCGGAGGGTTTGATAGGGGATTAAACAGACGGTAACTCAAAAAATAAATAAATAGATAACGCCATGAAATTTTGTAGGAATGTAGATATAACAAGATGTGCACCTATTTGTTTGTAAACAATGTTGCTTAGCCCATGGGGACACATGTGTTAGTGTAACATGCGAAAGAAAGATTGTGTACACAACGTATTCAGGGACCTCTATTAAAACACGACAATACAAGAACAACGTACAGCCTTAGGCAATTTTCTTTTAAAGTTACCACTCTGATTTATCATGGTAGGGGCTCATCGAAACAGAAATTAAGTTTTTAAACACAACAACAAACAGCCTCGAACGCATCAGTAAATGGTGCTTGTGCCTACAACTTGCTTATGCTGGGTCATCTAACAATGAAACTTGGTACAGTTATGTACTATGGGGATGAAAACCATGTGAACTACGACAAACACATAGGCCCTATATGCTACTTTTATATGGGCATTATGCCCCCAAAATTTTATTACATTATATTGCACACCATATCATGTGATGCAGCAAAAAACAATGGAGACAAGTAAATAAGAAACTCTTCGAAATAAAAGTTTGGAATATAGGGAAGCCATAAAAAGCAGACAGGGATGACCTAGTGCATGCGATGCAATAATACAATGGAATTCAAACTGACATTCCTTGCTCCACACAAGCCCTATTTTGTCGCCTTTTACACATGACATGAGATTGCTTAGTGAATGATGTAGTGTGAAGACTGGCAAAGGGATTCTGTATAGAAAAACTGCCTTAAGTGAGCGAACATTGAAATCTTGACTACAAAATACAGTTAGATCCGAAACTGAGGACCTATTAGCTACCAGTCTTACGTGCATATAAAATGAGTCATAGAAGCAAATCATACGATACAGATCACTCGTGCTTTACGACAATAATAGGACTTGTGTGGAGGAAAATTTACATGAGCAAGAAATCTCAGTTCTAAGATGTAACCATCATCCATTGTACTACTAGATTGCATGCACTAGGTCATCCCTGTCTTGTCTCCTTGCTTTTTATGGCATCCCTATATTCAACACTTTTAATTGGATCAAATTTTTTTACTTACTTGTAGAAACCTAGGGTTACTGCACTGGTGTATGCAAACAGGTTTAAAACAAAAACAGGTTTAAAACAATAATATATTTCTAGAATTAGGTCCTTTACCTGGATAATCTGATTTCTCAAGCACTCCTGCTGCAATAAGTTGCTTTATCTCCCACTTTTCTGGTGATGTCATCCTGGTCATACCCCTGGCAGCCAATCCTTGTTCTTCTCTAACCACTGAAGAGCCCTCTACAGGACGATCTGGATTCCTAAAGAGCCCCTCTTCTTTTTTATCTCCATGACAAAGCATGTGGTTAACAGAAGCATTCAGATCCCGACCTGTAAACTGGTCCACATCCTGTATGCATTACAAAAGAATAATTACTAAAACTAGCTATTTCCATTTTAATTTGGATGGCTAGTGCAATTGATGGTCCATAAGTATTATGGAGCAACTTGTGAAAAATTCGTAAATAGCATAATAGACTAACGTCGCCAATGCTACATTTGACCTTTGGTGCAACTAGTAGTACAGTTGCAACTAGTAGTGCGCATTTGATCAAGTCAACTTGTCAACCCTGCTTGTATTAGAGACATTACGGTTCAGACAGGAAAAATAGGGTCTGCTCATTAAAATTAAAAGCACTAAAGTGCAAACGTTTGGTGGGTACAGCTTATTCATGATCTGGGCTATTAGTATGTGTTTACTCCATGTCTCCCACTGTTAGCTTACGGAGAGTCTTGACACCATGGGCTAGTTACAAGCATGTAGGAGTCGATACACGCCGTTCATTGTGACTTCTTGTGCCTCAAAGGTACACAGAGCAGTAAGCCAGTGCGATTTTCCATATTGGCCTTTTCGCTTGATTTAACGGCATTGTCTCTCGAACACAGTCGTTTTAGGAAAATTGCCACATTTTATTTTTAAGGTTCGCATAGTTCTAAAGCAGTTGGAAAGGCTCATAGGCCGCCTCGTAGCCTGTAGAGCGAGAATACCTGACGACAGACAGACATAGACACACAAAGACCAAGTATAATGAAAAGCACTAAAGTGCAAACCCTCAGCGAACTGCGCATGCGCGGTACCACTAAATTGATGGACTAGGCTTTTTATTTTCTTTACTCGTGGTATCCCGCTAGTAGCTGGCGGAGAGTCCGGCACGGGCTAGCTACAGTAGTAGATAGCATGCGGGAGTTGATACATGCCCTTCGTTGCGACTTCTTGTGCCTTCAAGATACACAGAGCGAGCGGACACGGTCGAGGTAAGCCTGTGCTAATTTGCATATTGGCTTGTTCACTTGGTTTTCACGCCATAACTTTAGAACGCAGTATTTTTACGAAAATCGCCTTTTTTAAAATCAACCCAGTGTAGCACTGAACCCGATCATATCGCTATTTACCTGATTTCGTGCGCGCGGTGGCAGAAAACGTGGTAACAGACAGACTGACACACTTACGGAACAACTACAGTAACCCTCGCTGCACATGCGCACCGAGGGTTAATAACCCTCGCAGTATATATATGCGCAATAAGGGTTAAAAACGATGAACATAGATATGGTAGGGAGACAAGATACACAAGTAAATCCTGCGACTTTAAAAAAGGTCGGCTTATAAGCATGGTATAAAAGAGAGGGAGACAAGATAGGATACACAAAGCATGGTTCATGAACATATTTGAGCACGCTGACACCCCAACCCCATCATACAATCCCTATACTGCTGCCAGGTGTGCCAATCTTAAACATTCAAACAATATGGTCGCCATGGAAACGATGTAATTCGCATGCGTACCAAGTTAAATCTCCATGTGTGCAACTGTAAACAAGTTTGAGGAGTAATAATAATAATACTAAGGTGGCTGCCATAGCACTAGGGCCATAGACCACGCACCCAGAGCAATGGGCGGAACTGTTAACAAACGAAACATACACATATGAACATGCGGTGTCTGTCTCACTCCCAGA